GAAGACCAGGTGATTTCTGGGTTCTCCTAACAGTGGGAACCTGCAGAAGTGACTTCCCAACAGTTCTTAGCAGTTGGTGTTCCAATGAAGCTGAATCCTCTGGGAAGTGTGGACCGGCCAGTTTTGAAATGCATAGTGTATCCTGATTAGCCATAACCATTCCCACATATGCCCCGGATGCAGACTCTAGCCACTGAAGAGACTCAAACTGCCTGAGCATCACAGCCGGGGTTCAGGACTCTCTGGGGTCCGTGCTGGCACTGTCAGTGCCCTGTGAAAGGAAACTGAGTCACTGTTGGACCCTCAGGTAGGAGAGGAGCTAGCTGTCTTGGGTCAGTAGATAGGACACCTCAGTTTCTGGAGCAATTCTGGGGCCAGTAAAGTATCTCTGTTCAGTGGGTACAGAAGCTTGCTCCCAAGCCTAACAACATGTTTGATTCTTAGAACCCACTCCTGTGAGTCATCTTCTATGGCATGTGTGTATGTGAGCATACGCTATAAGAATTCCTGCTTAGACCAGGAGTTTACCCACCCAGTTGACCTAATGACGTAGCAGAAGCAAAAAGCATAAATCCATGACAAGTACTGACCACATAATGTGGCAAGAGCTGTGAAGAGTGGCAGCTGCTCCCACCCAAGGTTACAATACCATGGATCCCCATAAATTAACGCAACTTTCTCTTTTTGTCCTTTCTTTTAAAAATGTAAAGCAGCCAGGCAGTTGTGGAGCACGCCTTTGATCCCAGCATTCAGGAGGTAGAGGCAGGTGGATCTCTTGAGTTTGAGGCTAGACTGGTCTACAAGGCGAGTTTCAGGATGGTCAGGGCTACTAAGAAACAAGGAAAAGAAACTTGTCTGTGTGCGGGAGTAATGAGTGCGTGTACCGCGGTGCTGTTCAGGAGGCAGCCCGTGGGAGTCTGTGTCTTCTACCACGCAGCTCCTAGGGACCGAATCCAGGTTGTCAGGGTTAGATAATAAGCATCCTCACCTGCTCAGCCATCTCACTGGGTGTTTCTGGTTTCTTTTTTCTGAGAAAGGGTTTTAAATAACCCAGGCTAGCCTCAAACACTTACGTAGCCCAGGATGAGCTTGAACTGCTGGTTTCTCACCTCCATCTTCTCTCCTTACAAGACAGGGATTTTTTTTGTTTGTGTTTTGTTTTTTCGAGACAGGGTTTCTCTCTGTAACTTTGGAGCCTGAACTGGAACTCACTCTGTAGATCAGGCTGGCCTCGAACTCACAGAGATCTACCTGCCTTTGCCTCCTGAGTGCTGGAATTAAGGCATACACCACCACTGCCATGTGGGTGCTAAGAATCGAACTTGGGTCCTCTGGAACAGCAACAAATATTCTTTTTTGTTTGGTTGGTTTTTTTGTTTTTCAAGGCAAGGTTTCTCTATGGCTTTGGAGGCTGTCCTGGAACTAGCTCTCAGACCAGGCTGGTCTCAAACTCAGAGATCCGCCTGCCTCTGCCTCCTGAGTGTTGGGATTAAAGGCATGCGCCACCACCACCTTTAATTGTTTTTTTTTTAACACTTAGCAAAAGGTTTATTTACAGATACGTGCTCAAAATTAAACCAACAAGTGATGGGCAAACACTCAGGGGAATTATCACCGTTAAATCTGAAAAGCCAGAAGGCATGTTGCTAGCTCCAACAATATTCCTAACTGCTGAGTCATCACTCCAGCTCCCAGTCATGGTTTTTGTTTTTTGTTAGAGCTGGTGTGTGTGTGTGTGTGTGTGTGTGTGTGTGTGTGAGAGAGTGAGAGAGAGAGAGAGAGAGAGAGAGAGAGAGACAGAGAGACAGAGACAGAGAAGATGAATTGTAACTGCCCCAGGGAATGGACAGACCCTAAGAGAAAAGAGTGGCTTCCTCTAGCTGGGAATCACTCAGTGTCCACAAGTGTCTGTGGAGTTAAAGGCAGTCATTGTCCTGGTCTCCAAGCTGCCCGGCTAGAAGGTTCACTGGTCTCTGAGTACCCATCAGACACTTCAGGTTACACACTTGCTACAGTTTGTCCCATCACACTTGGAAACCTTAGAACCCCATGACTACAAGGATATGATGCCTACTGCTTCTCACATCTGACCACCAGCCTTCCCGCACTCTGCTGGCCAGGAACAGACACCGTTAAGGACAAAGCCAAAACTGCCCCAGCCACAGCCTTCCAGCTCTTGGGTTTGCCTTAAAATACTGTGTGTGAGCAGGGCATGATGGGGTATACCTGTAATCCCCAGCACAGGGGAGGCAGAGGCAGGAGGATTGAGACCTGCAGGCCAGCCTGGAATGATGCTTTCTCAAACTCAAACCAAAGCAGAAGTCTCTCTGCAACCCATGTAGTGTCAGAGTGTGCATTAATTCAGGATAACTGCTAAATTTCTTACAGCAGTGGCTCTCAACCCTCCTAACGCTGTGACCCTTTAAAACAGTTCCTCTGTTGTGACCCACAACCATAAAATTATTGCATTGCTATGTCATAACTAATTTTGCTAGTTATGAATTGTAATGCAAATACTGGTGATTTTGGGTGGTCTTAGGTGACCCCTGTGAAGGGGTTATTCAATTCCAAGTGGTTGGTAACCCACAGGTTGAGAACCTCTGTCTTACAGGCTTGTCATCATTGTTTCTCCCATGCTAAGTAACTTACTTGATGGTGCACAGCTCCCAGGAAGCAAAGGTGGGATTTCAGCCCAACCATGTATATGCCTGCCTTGGTGTCCCCTTCTTCCATGGCCCCTTCCTTGCTGTGCTAAGATCCCTCAGCCTAGAGAATGGCATTTGGCTCTCTGAGATTCAGGTGTGTGTGTGTGTGTGTGTGTGCATGCGTGCATGGGGGCACTCATTTTGGAAGAGCTCCAATCCCTGCCACCTTGCTAGCTATAGCATGGCCCAGCTTAGCCATAAAAGTCCCTTCAACCATTGCTCCCTGCCAGGAAGAGCTATGTATAAAGTGTTGGTCGTTTAGATGGATACAGGGCAAGGAGTGGCCTAAGTGTCAGCCAATGGGGTTGCTGTTTAGGCCCCTGGGCATCAACGATGCACCCAGAGGTTGATGCCAAGTCAGGCCTATCTAATCAGAGAGAGTCTTGAGATTAGTGATGTGTTAGACTTCTGGAGTGGAGTGGAACTGAGGAGCCTCTGGCCAGGGGAGTTGGAACTTAGGACATGGTGCTATCTCCCTCAGCAATACCCATCTTCTTCATCTGCAACATAGAATATGGTTCTACTCACCCCGCCCCCAGCAATACCCATCCTCTTCATCTGCAACATAGGACATGGTGCTAACCCTCCCAGCAATACCCATCCTCTTGCTACCCCCCACTCAGCAATACCATCTCCTTCATCTGCCCAGCGATGCCAGGGTGACTTCTCAACACAGTCTTCTGCTGAGTCCTCCCTCAGCTGCTACCAACCTAGTGGGGGGATGGGGCAGGACTGAGGACACCAATACCAATGTGGTACCCAGCAAGACTCCTGGCTCTTTCCTTGATTATTTCTGCCAGAGCCCAGGGGTCAACTTCGGATACTTCCGTTTCTCCTAGCACAAAAAGAAGGCAGCCCCTCCCTGCTGGAGGCATCCCAACCTCCCTCCTAGGCTGCATCCCTCCTCAACTCTGGTTACCACCTCCCTTTCCTCTCTTCTGCAATCCTGTGCTTGCCCTGACCTGCCTGCTCCTGATCTTGACTGCCAACAGCCCACGATTTTGGTTTCTTTTTTTTCCTGGTTTTTCCAGACTACGTTTTTCTGTGTAGCCCAGGATACCCTGGAACTCACTCTGTAGATCTATCAGGGCTGGCCTCCAACTCAAGAGATCTGTCTGCCTCTGCCTCCCGAGTGCTGGGATCAAAGGTGTGCGCCACCACCCTGCTGTGATCTGTGGTATTCACCCAGGACTCTGACAGTGTTCACCTTGTGACATCCAAGAGGCACAGGGTCAGGGAAGTATGCCCTCTGTACTTTAGGACTTGGGCCAGATGGCTTATTGCTCCTCCCCAATCAGCTGCTGGCCAGGTACAACTGTGACAGTGCCCACACCCTCCCGCCTGGTGAGCAACACATCTGCCAACCCCAAGAGGTAAGCACTGTGTGTATGTATGGTTTTGGGAGGTAGGGGTGGCCCATCACAGTCTTGCCCAGGCCCTTCCATGGAGAGGGTGCATTGGGGGGTGGCACCTGCCGCCCCCTGGCCTCCACATTCTCACCTCACTGACATGTGGGGCAGGGGAGAAAGCATGGGATGGAGTCAAGTGGGCAGGCATCCTTAGACTCAGGCCTAGCTAGGGCTCAGCACCTGTGAACCCTTAGGCCACTCCCTGATTGAGTGCCGGGGAATACAAGGTTGGAAACAGGATTGCCAAGTCTGGCTGGCTTTGGAGGATAAAAATCGAAATCCCAATTTAGGCTCTTCAATGTCTTGCTGTGCAAATGTGCGGCCTCACCAAACCTTCGAAGATTGGGAAATGGCTGGGTGATGGGAGGGCTGGATCAAAGTGGAGCCCCTGCTTCCCCTCCCTTCCTCCCTCCTGCCAGCCCCCACTCCCCTCCCACCTGCCTTCCACTCATTAATTCCTAATCTTCAGGTTCTCTGCTCATCTACAGGGCTTGGCCAGCCCCAGGTCCGGGCTCTGAACCCAGGTTCATCCTGTGCAAGATAGGGCCCAACACGGAGCTCTAGAGGAAGGACACAGCGGCCTGACCTGGCATGTTCTGGGCAACGCTGGAGGCCAGTGGCTGAGTGCTGTGTCTTCCTGCACCCCACCCTCGGCCTCCGCCTTTCTTTGGCCGGCCGGCCTTTTACATTCGACGGGATCTACAAACCACCCGCCACCCTGGCACCTGTAACTCAGACCCATGTTTCCACTCCAACAACAGCAGGGCTCTATGCCTGCCCAGCATCGGACTGGCGCTGCTCTCCAGAGCCTGAGCGAGACCTTCCGCTCCCGCCTCCTCCCGCCCCCAAGGCTGTGGCGGGAGGGACGGGCCGAGGGCGGGGATCTGGGCTGTACCCAACCGGCCAGGCGCGCTGCGCTAGCGAGCGCAGTTACAGCCCATCCTGCGGCCGAAGTCTCGGCAGCCTCAGATTTCCGCGCCCCAAATCTTAGCAACCCCAACTCCGTGGCCCCCGAGGACTCTGGGCCTCCGGCAGCTGCAGCCCCACAGGCCCCGAGTTCCAGCAGCTCGGAGTCTGCACTCGCATCATGCTGCTGAAGTGAGTCCGATCGCAGTCGTGTCCCGTGAGTGGGATGGGGGGTGGGGGCGAGCCGTGGGCTGGAGCCGGGGACCCACTTCGAGTCCGGGTTGAGAGCGCCCGACGGTAGGTAGCACTGGCTGTGGCCCCATAGCGGCGCGGGTGTCCCCCGTTCTCCACCGGCTCACCTGGACCTGCCTGCATGAACAGCAGGGGGCGGCCCGCGGCCAACCCGCTGCACCCACGACCGTACCCGGCGCGTGGGCGGGCGGCTCGTGGGAGGAGGAAGGGCAGAAGCGGAGGCTGATGTGAAGTCTCACACCAGCCCCCGGCACAGGCTTACCCGCCGCCGCCCTTCTCCCTGATGACTTCCCAGAAGGAAGGATGTGCGCTACCTCAAAGACCAGTTGATACCCACTGCTTGGGGACAGGGCGCCTTCTTCTCAGTGTACTCGGCATCCCACAGATCCAGCCTGGCCAGGGGGAAGTGGGAGGAGTGTGTGTGTGTGTGTGTGTGTGACAGTTTTGCACTCCAACTTTTTGCTAAAATATCCCGAGGCACCCGTCCCCTTGGCTACTAGGGAGACCCTTTGTCCACAGGTGTCCTACCTACAGAGTCTCCAGGGAGACAAAAAGGGGAGCACCTGCAAGCTATGGTGTCCCTGATGGCCAGTGGCTGACTTGAGTTCGGGTGTTGGGATCCCTAGGCCTGAGGCATGCAGGATCGCTTGCCCCCTGCCCAAGGGTTTCAAGGTCGCTTTAGAGGGTTAGGGTGAAGAGCCTCCCGCTTCCCCACCCCCATTGCCCTCCCCCTACTTACCCCCCACCCTCTATATCCCCCCCCCCCGCAAGGTCTCCTGTGTGGCTTGTAAGAGGTGACAAGGCTAAGATGCCCAGGACTCTTGTGAGTCTGGAAGAAGCATTCCAGCCACCAAGGGTCTGGAACATGGGATCCCACCAAGTTTGGTTTCAGGTGGCCCTGTCACCCACCTGAGCCTGCCTCCCTTGTGGCCACCAGGTGTCTTCGTGTCTTTGTCACCTCAGGTGCAGCTTCCAATGGTCTTGTGTTCCTCTTCAGGGAAGTTAGGTCACAGGGAGGGGGCACAGGCCTTGGCCATGGCTCCCAGTGCCCCCTTTCATCACAAAAATCGACTGTCTTTCAGAGTTTGGGGGCTGTCGAGCCCTGGGGACTTGCCATGGGTCAGGGGGAGAGGAGGTGTAGGGTCCTGGTTGGATTCTCTGAGGTCTCTGAAACACCAGCCAAGGACCTCCTACAGTTGAGTTCACATCTCTGACAGCTGTCACCGTGTCCCAGCCTTGGGAGCCAGCCAGCCAGTTTGGAAGAAGCACCATCTCATTTGTCTCTCAGGAGGGTTCTTTTCCAGTCCCAGTCTGCTCTTGCTGCTCATCAGCTGCCTGCAAGCTGGTAAGTTGGGATGCTCCATGCTGTGCAAAGCATAGACGCAGGTCATTAGGGAAGCTGTGGCCACAGCCCCTCTGGCTTCTCCAGAGGCCCACTGGAGAGAGCTGGTCCCCACACCTAGGCTAATATATGCAGGGTCATAAAGGGAAGGGCTTCCCCAAACTCTATACTTCTCATTGCATTTCTTTCTTTCTTTTTTTTTTTTTTTTTTTTTTTTTTTGGTTTTTTGAGACAGGGTTTCTCTGTATTGTTTTGGAGGCTGTCCTGGAACTAGCTCTTGTAGACCAGGCTGGTCTCGAACTCAAAAAGATCTGCCTGCCTCTGCCTTCTCATTGCATTTCTTGATTAGGGTCAGTAGAATGTCCCTCCTGGTCTCTTTGCAACCACAAAAGCCACCTTTGGGAAGAGCTGCCAAAGCCAGGGTGGGACCAGGGTTGGCACTATGTGGAGGCTTGTGCCTCACATCTGAGTTGTTACAAGACTCTCGCCCACCCTCCTTAGTGATAATTCCTTTCCTGCCTTGGCGGGTTGGGATAGGTTTAGTGTTTGGATCTTGAGTAATAAATTGTGCCACTTCTGACTCTGCAGAGAGTGAGGTCAAGGAGGTCCATGCGATGGTGGGCAGCGATGTGGAGCTCCGCTGTGCCTACCCCCACAGAAGCCACTTCAATCTGGATGATCTGTATGTCTATTGGCAAACCGAGAACCCCAAAACCGCGGTGACATACCACCTGCCTAACAATGGGTCTACAGAGATGTATGCGGACAACCAGTACAAGAACCGGGCCCATCTGTCACTGGAACGCATGAAGCAGGGAGACTTCTCTCTGTCCCTGCAGAATGTCACCCCCAAGGACTCCCAGGAGTTCATATGCCTGGTATTTAAGTCTGAAGGGTTAAAAAACGTCTTAAAGGAGACAGTGAGACTGCATGTGGCAGGTAAGACCCCTCCACGCAGAGGACTAGCTTAGTTCAGCCTGACCCTCCTGCACGTCCCTGTCTCCGTGGTGGGCTCCCCTTTACCTGTGAAGCTCTGCTCTGAGCAGAGTCTGTAACTCAAGACCCCCTGATTTCAGAGAACTGCCTAGCTAGCCATCTCTGTCTCCAGCTGCCCAATTCATCTCGAAGTAGATATCAGAAATTGAGCGAATGGGGGGGGGTGATGGCACATTCGATAGAGTGCTTGCCGTACAAACGTGAGGACTTCATTTCAATCCCAGTGCCCATGTAAAGTCAGGCAGAGTGGCATGCATTTTGTCCTCACTCTGGGGAGGCAGAGATAGGTGGATCCTCTTGTCTTTGCCTGGCAAGTGCTGGGATTAAAGGTGTGTGCCATGACCACCCACAGCATGAGTTTCTTTGGTTTTGCCATGATCAGGCTTTCCCACTGGTCTGAGCCCTCCCTCCCCACCGCCTCCTTTCCCTACAGCAAACTTCAGCACACCTGTCATCAGCACCTCTGGTAGCCCCTCCTCAGGCCAGGAACTCACTTTCACCTGCAAGTCTACGAATGGCTACCCCAAGCCCAACCTGTACTGGATCAACAGGACGGACAACAGCCTGATAGCCGAGACGCTGCAGAATAACACTGTCTACTTGAACGAGCGGGGCCTGTATAATGTGGTCAGCACCTTGCGGATCCCGTGGACGGCCCCTGTGGACGTTAGCTGTTCCATAGAGAATGTGGTTCTCCACCAGAACCTCACCAGCATCAGCCAGGCAGGTGAGGCCCATGCCGGGGAGCAGGGGCTTAGGGGGCTGTGGGGTAGGAGAGGCCCAGTCAGTCATAGACTCCCTACGGAAAGTAGCCACGAGGGGCTCTTGGTTTCTGAAGGCGGGGATACAGTTCTGCTCAGGGCTGTCATGGTAACCTTTATTGGCTGTCCAGGCAAATGATTAGCGTGGCCGCATTTGCATAGTAGCCGTTTCTCAGGCTCTTAACCAATGAGGACTGAGGCTCTGCAGACCCCGGTGCATCTCAAGAGGCACAGGACTTGACCAGGATGGAGGGCCACACCAGGACCCTCCCCCACATTCTCTTCCTTTGAACACGTGCCCCCCTCTACCTCAGGGCATTCAGCTGGGCTTGGCTGCTGGCTGGGTCCTCTTTGGACCACAAAGACATGACCCTCCCCAGAGGCCATAGCCATCCCAGTCCAGGTGAGGAACCCAGCCAGTCCCCAGATATCAGAACCATGAGTCTATTCTTAAGAAGTGTCCCAAATAGGTGGTCCACAGAGGGAGAAGGCAGGTGAGAAGAGGCTAGAAACTGGGGTGCGGTCGGGGTGAGGAGGGGCTACCTTCTCTGGGGCCAGTGATGGCACTGTATTGCCATACTTTGTGCTACTGAACTGTCACAGTGGGTACTTGGGTATCATACAAACATCATAGAGATTCACCTGCAGAAGAGCCTGAATTGAAGGGCGGATTATGGAAGTCCACAAATGCCCGAGTAAAAGGTTAGCAAATATTTATTTAGGGAACACTCACACACTGGCAGGTAAGGCGGCACTGCTTGGGGGTGCAGGGTGCTGCAATACAGGGTGATGGTCAGGTCTCAGCCTGTCACCCCGAGACAGAGAGAGAGACACAGACAGAGAGAGAGATGGTCAGGTCTCAGCCTGTCACCCCGAGACAGAGAGAGAGAGACAGAGAGAGTGAGAGATGGTCAGGTCTCAGCCTGTCACCCTGAGACAGAGACAGAGACAGAGACAGAGAGAGAGAGATGGTCAGGTCTCAGCCTGTCACCCCGAGACAGAGACAGAGACAGAGACACAGAGAGAGACAGAGGGACAGAGACACACACATACACAGAGAGAGACAGAGACAGAGACACAGAGAGAGACAGAGACAGAGACACAGAGAGAGACAGAGACAGAGACACAGAGAGAGAGAGGGACAGAGACAGAGACACAGAGAGAGAGAGGGACAGAGACACAGGGGGGAGAGGAGAGACAGAGACACACACATACACAGAGAGAGACAGAGGGACACACACACAGGTGCACAGAAAGAGAGAGAGAGACAGAGACAGACACACAGGGGGGAGAGGAGAGAGAGACAGAGATAGACACACAGGGGAGGAGAGACAGAGACAGACACACAGGGGGGAGAGGAGAGAGAGAGAGACAGACACATGGGGGGGAGAGGAGAGAGAGACAGACACACAGGGGGGAGAGGAGAGAGAGAGAGACAGAGACACGGGGGGGGAGGGAGAGGAGAGAGACAGAGACAGACACACGGGGGGGGAGGAGAGAGAGAGAGACAGAGACAGACACACAGGAGGGAGAGGAGAGAGAGAGACAGACACACAGGGGGGAGAGAGAGAGACAGACACACGGGGGGAGGAGAGAGAGACAGACACAGGGGAGAGAGAGAGAGACAGACACACAGGGGGGAGAGAGAGAGAGAGACAGACACACAGGGGGGAGAGGAGAGAGAGAGACAGATACACAGGGGGAGGAGAGAGAGAGAGAGAGAGAGAGAGACCTCTTCCTTATAAGGGATCACGTCTGAAGCCACACCCTAAGACTCTGAAACTATTGGCGGAAACAAATTCCCACTACACCGAGTTTCTTTCATACCCATTCCTTACAAGCCCAGGGACCGACTCAGGCTTCAAGTTTCATAGTAGGACGGGGACCCTCACCTGAAAGAGCACCCCGTACCAGCCTCACCCCTGCACCAGCCTCACCCCTGCACCAGCCTCACCCCTGCACCAGCCTCACCCCTGCACCAGCCTGAGGTTTTAAAGCTCACACTGTGATGACAATGAAGTTTTAAACAATCTGTTGCCTCTTCCCTTCCATGGAAAAGACCTTCCATCAAGGTCCTTTATGTCTTGGGCATTTTCTCACTTCTTTTTTTGGGGGGGGGTAGGGAGGTTTGAAACTGGGTTTCTCTGTGTAGCCCTGGTCATCCTAGAACTTGCTCTGTAGACCAGGCTGGCCTCTGCCTCCCAGTGCTGGGATTAAAGATGTGAGCCACCACCACCTGCCCCATTCCATTTTCCTTAGACAGGGTCTCACATAGCCTAGGCTTGGTCTCAAACTCACTGTGTAGCCAAGGTGACCTTGAAATAGTCCTCTTCCTCCACCTCTGGAGTGCTGGGATTGCAGGTGTATTCTGCCACACCCAGTTTACGTGGTGCTGAACCCAGGGCTTAATGTATGCTAAGCAAGCACTGTACCCACCAAGCCGCATCCCCAGCCCATCTCTGCTTTCCTGCAGAAAACTACACTGGAAACAATGACAAGATCACAAAGGATCCACAGGAAAACCACAGCCAGAAGAAAAACATGGCCATTTTCATCATCCTTGCTATACTACTACTGCTGGCAGCTGCGGGTTTCATCTGGTTTTTCAGAAGCAGGTGCCCCTGCAGACAATATGAAGGTTTGCATGAGACTCATTGACCGTTGAACTCTGTTGCTCTGAATGCTTTGGTTTTTACAGCTCCTTACACTCCACTTTTAAGAGCATAGGCATGCTTAGCAAGAGCCTGAAGCCTCCCAGAAGAAACTTAGACCCTCTGTTTCTGAGAGAGCCATACTAGTGGCAAGAAGCTCACATTCCAGGCTCCAGGGCGTGATGGAGTCTACATTCAGAGGTGGGGTGGATGGGCTGGCAAACACTCAGCCTTTAAAGGCTCATGCTCACACTTATCTTCTAAAGGTTCCAAGTTCAGTTTCCAGAGACGGATTTAGTTGATTTCTGTGCAAACCAACTGATGCAGCTCTAAGACATGGGCAAGGTCATGTGCCTGGAGTTTTATGCAGTCAGGGACAGGCCCAGAAAGTGGCGATGTCACCTTGTCTTGCACATGAGCCATAGTGCAGGGTCTATGGCCAGGAAGTCTAGAAGTGCTGGAAGATTCAGGAAGTGGATAAAGCTAAATGGAGCCCTGTGCCTGCTTACAGTCTGGCTCCAACCCTGACAAGCCCTCCTTCCCTTCCCTACAAGCTACCCTCGTGTTCCCAGTGTGTGGCCAATACCAGTGATGTCTGAACTGCTCTCCCAGCCCATGGCCCCTACTGATGTGATCTGGCCGGGCCAGTGATGTCTGAACCGCTCTCCCCAGCCCATGGCCCCTACTGATGTGATCTGGCCGGGCCAGTGATGTCTGAACCGCTCTCCCCAGCCCATGGCCCCTACTGATGTGATCTGGCCGGGCTGTGCCAGGGCCTCTGAGCTGGGGACACAAAGCGTACACACACACAATTTTACTTGTGTGTGTGCCTGAATGTATGTATGTATACTACTTGTGTGCAGAAGCCCATACAGGTCAGAAGAGAGGATGGTGCCAGGAACTGAGCCCAGGTCTTCTGCAAGAGCAGCAAGTACCTTTAACCACTAAGCCACCTCTCCAGCCCTGACAGAAAGCCACTTAAATGTTTCTGCACACTTGCTCCTTAAAATCCATCTTCCTTTAGAAGCAAGGTTGTCTGGGGAACCCCTTTGGGAGCCCTCTCCTGCCCAGAGCAGAAGCCTTGGGGAGAGGGTGGACAGATGGGATGATGCTACTATGAGCCTACCCTCCCACAAGGCCTGAACCTCTCTGCTTTGGCCCACAGGTCCCTGGACTGTAGAGCAGGAACCCACAGGTGAGTGTGCCTTGGGGGCAGCAGGTTGGCTGGGCTGTCACGGCCCTTCACACCTTCAGTTGGTAGTTTTAAATACTTGATGATTCTATAGATGTAGAAACCCTGCCCTGTGGTGGAAACTTCTGGACCCTGCATAGCACAGAGCCCTGGCAAAGGTCCCTGGGCCCTTCTGCCTCTGCTCTGTGAGACCCATTGACTCTGTGACTGGCAGCTCAGTCTCTCTTGGTGGAGGTATGCCTCCTATAACCGCCAGAACACTGGCAGGTGGACCTTTTATGTCTCCAGAGGTGTGGATTCATATCCCAGTATTGGAAAGACAGCCACATGGTGTTGACCACCAGAAGATATCCCTGACTTTGGGGGCCTTTGCCAACTCAGTGACTGTACCTCCCCGAACTTGGCTTTTCCCTCTCAGAGGTGGCGGGGTATGTGGTCCCCTCAGTGCAGGAGTGAGACCTGTTTCCTTATCTAGGTGAGCAGGCTTAGATGTCTGACGCCTGCCACTCCAGGCTGGACAAGCCAGTGCCAGGCCACTTTGGAACAAACTTGAAGAGCTCCGGGCCACTTGGTCCTACCCCAGTCATGTGGCTCTTCTAGATTTTAGCCCCTTTCCCTTCACCAGTCTGAGTCCTGGGAAGAATCATTTCATTGTCTCCAAAATTAAGACACTGAGGATGGCTCAGGAGTAAGTGCTTGCCAGGCAGGCATGAGGAGGCGGGGCCTGCCTTCACCTTCCTCTCTCTTCTTCCTTCCAAGACCATGCCTGACAGGACTCCGCCCAGGATGTAGACTGGGCTTCTGTGAGATGCCACCCGGTGGATGTTGGACACAGCTCAGAACCGACTCCCACAGGCCTGGTGGCAGAAAGGGGACAATGAGCCGTCTACTTCTGTGCTATGATGGAGGACAGGAACCCCTGGCCTTGAGAGGCACAGAGGATTGGTCCCAGAAGCCTCGTGGGAGACCTTTCCAGTGGGCAGCAGCGACATCAGAATACGGAGCCTCAGAATACAGAGCTGCCTGAGCCGCCAGTACGTGGCTCCCACCCAGCCATCAGCACAGAGAGGAGGCGCTTGTGGGGAGGTCCTTCCCCAGCCCGAGCCCCAGAGCACGTGACTCAGCCCCTGGTTCTTACAGAAAGGGCAGTTGAGCCATTCTGAAAGCACCTACAAAATCCACTGGAGACCGTTTTCCTACAGCACTTTCAGGAGGGGAGAAGGCCTTATTTATTTTGGTCTCAATCTACTTGGGCCTCCTAGAGGATGTGTGGGGGTTGTTGTCTACAAAGAACCTGCTGTTGGTGATAACGGCTGGGCCCAGAGGTTTGGGGTCTTTGGCTCTGCAGCATCAAAGGGACATGACTCAAAGCAAAACATGTGCCGCCCATGGGTGCTGCTCATTCATCACCGAAGGCCCTCGAGCCTGACTAGCCTGTGGATACAGAAGCTTCCTGAAAACCTCTGGCTCTTCCAGACTGAACACAAAGCTGGAGGAGACCAGCTCCATTCACCTGACCTCAGCAGCCCATGAAGACCTATGAAGACTCCTGCCACTCCTGGAACCACCAGACCCACCAGGTGGCCACAGCCACCGGGGTCTCTATGCCATTGGCCAGAACAGAGCTAGCCATTTTGGTCCTAGATGGTTCCGCAGAGTTGGCTACTGGGTAACCTAGGTGTGCACAAGCTCCAGGGAGATGCAGTAGGGGCGTGGAACCCCCCCAGTGGGACACAGCATCTGACCCTACTTGTGGGCAAACACCCTCCCTCCTTCCTACCCAGAGGCCTGACAGTCCTGGGCGGTAAGGGCTTGCTAGCTGTATGGCCACTGCACAGTATTGACGGATGTGAGATCCACGGCCCGGATGGAGCAGGAGTGAGGAGGGATATCCCTGGGGTCAGGCTCAAGGGGATGAGTATTCTGAGGGCCTGGCTACGTCTCTGTGCAGACTCCTCACATGGACTTATTTATTAAATGAGTGTAGAGACCCACTTCTTCCTGCAGAGCATTACGTGTCTGTAAAATAGCAATTGTCATTGTGGGCCTAGAGTTGGCAGCTATGGTAAAGGAAGCACAAGGAGCCACTGGGGTGCAAGAAGCTGGGGTACAGTGCTTCCAGAAGAGTTGTTTGGGATTTAGTGCCTATCCAAGTCCAAGGACACAGCCCTGCCCTGGGGGCGGGGGCAGGGGGTGGGAGTGGGAGTGTCAGTGTCTGTGGCAACCCAGCAGGGAGACCAGTCTATTTCCACTCTCCTGTCAGAAGGTAGTTTCCCTCAGAAAGTGGTCAACCCTGCAGCTCAGTTGCCTCAGGGCACCACAAACAGTGTTCTCATCGCTTATGCAGGCAGTGGGAACCCTCGCCAACTAGGCCTCTATGGGCTCTGCCTAGACCTTGGGCGGCGGCTTCTACAGTCTCTTCGCCTGCTGATCCCAACAGGCTCCCACCTTCCCATGGACCCCTGGGTGTACCCCCCCCCAGCACATCAGCATTCATGAGACCTTCTGCCTCCTTCAGCCCAGAACCTTGCCGGCGTTCTTTATCTGGGTTGTAGATGGGGCTGGCTTTCAATGTTGTTATAGTGATTTCCAGAACTCTGACGGGGAAATAAATATAAGATGTGCTTTCTGCCTTGTGTCTGGTGGCTTGTGTCATGTGGTGAGTCTGGCTCCGTCAGTCCAGCTGTCACTCTTTCAATGCTATCACCGCAGGTGGCTCTGTTCCTCAGGGGACATGGGCAATCACCCTTGGGGCTTGTTACAGTCCTGATGCAGAAGCCAGAGGTAGCTCTCAGCATCCCATAGAGCCCAGAAGGGTCCCAAGGGGGAAAGGCCTGACTGCAGTGGTCTCCTTCTGATAGGTGGACAGGGCAGGTGGCCCCTAGCCTCAAGAGAATGTGACTCCTCTCTGCTGCTGCCTGGTCGTCTCTGACCTGAGTCTGAGGATGCTTGTGCTTGCACTATTACAGAATACCCACCCCATGTCCAGCACCAGCTTGATTGCTGTATCTCTCGCCCAGCCCAATCTTTTAAAGGGAGGACAAACCCATACCACTAATGAGGCAGCTGCTGTGGCAATCTGGGAATGACTTCATCTATTGCAATCCTTTGCCTTACCCATAGCTCAGAGGATGCCGGGAGCCCAAGGAGGTATAGACTTGTGGAGGCTCTAGCTAAAGCCTCCTTGCCCACCCTGAGGCTCCCACCATGTCCATGGCTGATCACTGGTAGGGAGTCCCTCCTATTCCAAAAAGTAGAGAGAGGCCTTCATGTGGACTTCTTTCTAGACAGTCCCCTCCTCCAAGACCCCTGCCATTCCCTCCAGACATTTGCAAGTCTTCCTGGGGACTGGTGGATTCTGGCTTAATCAGTACAGTCCAAGCCCTGAACAGAGCAGGCTCCTGACTTGGCCCCTGCCCCTTTCCAATAAGCCTTTTGTCACATGTGGTCACCACTCACTGCTTGTCTCCACCTCCCCTTGACAAACAGGAGCTAAACAGTCCCTCCACCATCTCCCCTTTCCAGGCCCCTGACCTTGGAGCTCTTTCCAGGGGCTCCACCCATCCTCTGAGGGTGTGATTCCAGCGGTCTCTGTTGTTGGAGGGCCTGTTCCTTCTAAGTGAGCTGCTGTTGGTAGGAAACAGGCTGTGGAAATTGGTTTCTTAAAGAACAGGACCCCTGCCCCCACCCCCAAATGCTCTGAGGTGGCCTTTGAGTTGGAAAGCTGCAGGCTAGGATAAGGACTAACACTTCACTTTTAGCAATGGGATCTGGTAGTCACTTATGCATACAGACCTTATGTATACAGATCTGATAGTCACTTATGCAAACAGACCTTATGTATACAGATCTGGTAGTCACTTATGCAAACAGACCTTATGTATACAGATCTGGTAGTCACTTATGCATACAGACCTTATGTATACAGATCTGGTAGTCACTTATGCATACAGACCCCAGTGCTCTAGACTAAGCATCATTTCTAGCCTCAGTGCTGCACACGGCAAAAGCCCATGAGCTTCGTTATCCGGCTGCCCTGTGCTTTTTTTTCATGTTTAATTTTTTTTCAAGAAAAAAATTTTCATTACATTTTTTTAGAAAAGAGCTTGCTTCACATGTCAATCCCAGCTCCCTCTCCCTCCCCTCCACCATCCCCCTCCAGCCTCCCACCCCATTCCCACCTCTCTCCACACAGGGGATATCCAGAGTCTGTCACCTCTCTCAGGGCAGGGTCCAGGCACTCCCCCAAGAGTCCAGACTGAGAGAGCATCCCTCTTTGTGTTATGGACACACAAAGTCCATTTGTATGCCAGGGACAAACACTGATCCACTGCCCAGGGCCCCACAGGTTGCCCAGGCCTCCCCACGGACTCTCACACTCAGGGGGTCCAGATTGGTCCCATACTGACCTCTCAGCTGTCGGTCTGGGGTCCAAGAGCTCCCCCTTGTTCAGGTCAGCTGTCCCTTCTGGCTTTGCCAGCCCATTCTTTGCCCATTTGCTCATCACTCCACTCTCTCTGTCATTGGGTTCCAGGGGTTCAGTTCAGTGTTTAGCTGTGGGTGTTTGCCTCTACTTCCATCAATCACTGGACGGAGGTTCTAGGATGACATATAAGGTAATCGTCAAGTTCATTATCAGGAATGGGCATTTAGGGTGGTCTCTCCACTATTGCTTAGCTTGCCAGTTGGTGTCATCCTTGTGGATCGCTAGAGGTCTCACTGGTGCCAGATTCCCTGTGCTTTTTGTTTGTTTGTTTGTTTGTTTGTTTTTGTTTTTCAAGACAGGGTTTCTCTGTGTCACTTTGGAGCCTGTCCCAGAACTAGCTCTGGTAGACCAGGCTAGTCTTGAACTCACAGAGATCCGCCTGCCTCTGCCTCCCGAGAGCTGGGATTAAAGGCGTGTGCCACCACTGCCCAGCCCGGCTGCTCTGTCCTAACTCCCTGTGCTTCATCTGCCCTGTGCTGCCCCCTTAGCCAGTCCCTAGCACTAGGACTGTGGTCTTGAAGAACTCACACTGACTCAGACTCTTTCAGGGTGTATTCAGCAGCCTCATGCAGACACTGCAGACATGGTCAGGTCCCCACAGCTCCAATAAAAGTGTGACATTTGTCCTCAGGGAGGATGGACATGGCCACCAAGGTTCTGAGGGAAGCCATAGGGAAAAAGACAACTCTTTGGTAGAAAATGCAGACTGTGAGAGCTGTTTGGGACACCAAGGTATGACACAGAAGATGTTTGTGATGGGGGTAGAGACACCTTATCATGATCTCTCAGGGCCAGAGGGAGAATTTGTCAACTAAGACTTTAGACACAGTCACCAAGACAATCCACCCCGCCAAATTATAATTCAGAAGGGGAAGTGTTACTTTTAAAAAATCACTTGGTAACCTTGTTGCTGATCCTGGGGGTTAGGGAGACCAACAAAGGAGTGAACTAAATGTCTGGGAAAGATAGCCGAGAAACAGCAAGTAACAAAGTAACAGTTTTATCCCTTAGGGATGGGAGGAGCCCTAAGTCTGGGACTGTGGAAATGGAGTCTTTCTGGTGTTTGGGTATTTTATCTGACCTCCAGGTCCTTCCCTTTCCCCTGTTGGTTCTGTTTGGATACCTACCCAGTGCCTTCCTGCTGTTTGTCCTCCTAGTGTCTTCTGGGAAAAAGAAGCCACTAAGCACTACCTCAGGGAGCTGGCTTTTGCTTTCCCTGTCTATGTCCCTCTAACCTGCCTTCAGTCCCCAGAGCCTCCCTAGAGATAGACACCAATGACTGTGGGGGAATGGGGGATGACAGCTCTAGCTGTATAATGACTGTGGGGGAATGGGGAATGACAGCTGTAGCTGTATAATGCTGAGGGGGGGCCAGGACTAGGGCATGTCTGTCCAAGAGAGAGGCAGGCTCCTGGGACTAGCCCAGGGAACTGCAGTCCCAGATCTTGAAGGTTCTCCATGGGGTCCGTTCAGAGTTTAGGCTGCGCCTTCTCCCTTTAGCTTCATCCCTAAGTGAGCAACTCAAGATTGGCAGGGAGTGCCTAGAATCACACTGTGAGGTCCCTCCCAGATGGCTTCTTAAAGAACTAGCTCAGATATTTGTAACTTGCTGACCTCTTCTGGCTTTTTCACTCCTGAAAAATATCCAAACACTGTGGGAGACATCAATGATCAACAAGCCTTGCTGTGATGATCTTTTGCACGTGGGCAGAGCTGATGTCATAGCATTTGTCTGTGTAATGCCACCTCAATAAAAGAATGTTGAATCCAAACTACATACATAATAAATTAATACTACTGTGTAATACTATTCAATGATGGGACTCAGTAAGTTCCCAGATAAACCTTATAGAAAACACAGAACATAGAGTAAAATAGAATAACCATGCTTTTGGTTATAAATGGATGTTAAAAACTCTGGTGCTAGGATCCTCCCCTCCCCCAACTACCTGCTTTTCTTTATATCATGAGATAAGTAACAGCCACAGAGCCCTTACTCTTTGGATATTTCCTCATTCTTCTCCCTGTTGCAGAATCAGGGGTTAGCCTGACTCAGAAAGGAGGCTTTGGAGGCCATTTGGAGACAAACATGCTTGGGTTTGAAGTGGGATGGCCAAATCCCATCTCCAGAAATAGCTAGTTGGCAAGTTTAAACACATGGCAGTTTTCACAGAGGGTGTTTGTCCATCTGTAAACCTGAACCCACTGGACAAGAACTTTGCCATTGAGTCCAATGACTGCTGACTGGACTCACGGCATCAGGCAGGCCACCTTGTTAAACAGTACAGATTTGTCCAGATGAGCCTTATCATTTGCTGGACCAAGCATTGGGAACAGGGATTGACAAGTTCTTATTTGTTTGGGCTTTCTTGCCCATGGGGTGGGTATTCAAGACAGGGTTTTGTCTCTGTAACAGTACTAGCTATCCTGAAACTCTCTTTTTAGACCAGGCTAGCCTCAAACTCAGAGATCCACATGCTTCTGCCTCCTGAACGCTGGGATTAAAGGTGTGCACCACCATGCCCAGCAACAAGTCTTCCTTTAGAAGTTCATGGGTGAGTAGCAGCGATCATAGCCCATGATGGAGGAGGGTCCAGCTGACCCTCCCTAGCTAGACTTGGGGTGACGAACTGCTTGGTAGCCTGTGACCACAATTAAGTTAGTGTAGCCTGTAAATGGAGGCAGATAGCCTGAAACACCTAACACCATCTATGTTTCTTAGATTTCTCAACAAGAAGGCTCTGTGAATGCAGGAGGATCAGAATTCTCCCACCATCCCCGCCAAGAAAAGCATCCCAGAGGATACTGGAACCATGCTTCCTGACAAAAGAAAATCAGGGTTTTTTAAATTTAAATGTCTAAAAGTCTAATTCTGCCCAGTGTTTGAGAAAGCAGCTGACTGGTCACTTCGGAGGAATCCTGGACCAGTTTGTCCCATCTACAATGAAATGAAAGAGGAAAGAAACAGTCACTAGTCCATCTGGGGTCACCTAGTGAAGTCTGCAGTGGGTGCCCTGCCATCTCCCTGTTTCTTTGGGCAATGTTGCTTTTTTATCCTTTCCTGCAGACACTTGTTTTTATAGAAGCTGTTATATTTACCAAAAAGACTCGGGAGTCAGATATTGGGGTGAAAACCTGCTAAT